AATCATAACAATAATTCTCTAAGTTTCTACTAATTAATTGTACCAATTTTTATTTGAAATCTAAATGTAACATTTAATATGTTACATATTTTATTTAATATATATGTATTATAACATCATCTCGTACGAATATATTACAAGTGCATCACGTTTTTTTAACATAATGCCTATTTTTATTGTTTATTGTTTATATAGAGCTTATTTGCTACGTTGCTATACTAATCTTAGCCTTAAGCTTCATACGTAACAATATATTCGGCTACTATATTTTTTATAATCACAATAATCAATAAATATTAAAACATATAAGTATTATTACGAAGGTCAATAAAATCTAACGAATATCATTATTTTAATAGTATTTTCAGCTTTTGTGACCTTTACAACTAATAAATATTCGTAAACTTCACAATTTACCCTGTCTTGTTACAAATTGTACTACCTTCAATGAAAGTTACACAGAACTGGAACTTACAAACAAGTCCGTAAAGTTTATTGCATAATATTATAATAATAAAATGGTTTCCAATTTTACGTTCTATTATTATTCAAAATATTAAAAATTCTAAAATATATTTGTTAGTTAATTCTTGATGGCTCGAAAACTCAACCCAAGACAGGATGACATTTGACATGAATGTAACCTTTGCCATGGGGAAGGGCATAGGTTATGTTTTATCCCGATTAGTTAAGTAGTTTGTAAATTACTTATTATATCCCGATTAATCTATACATATAATAAAATCCTAAGTCGAATCTGTACATTAAATATTTTTTGGAAAATCTTATTGAAATAAACATTATTATCGATACAGAGGCCGAATCTAGAATATTTGTCCGTCTGTCTGTTTGTCTGTGTGTTGCTGCATCACAAAAAAACTACTGGAGGGATTTTGTTAAAATTTGGTATGGTTATTCGGGTCAACATATAGAATACTTTTTACCGCGGGAAAATATCTCATTTCTGAGAAAAAATACAAAAACTGGTTAGACTAAAACCACGATGTTACTATATATATTTTTGCAAGGTAACTTACTCAATAAGGCAAAAACTATTAAAAATATCTTATCTTGAAAACAATAGTGCTATTTTATTTGGTTTTTGGTCATCTGAACGCAGGCGGAGCCGCGGGCAATGCTAGTTAAATATAAATCACTAATTGCCAGTATATTGCGGACAGCGAGACAAATAAATTATTTCAAGAGTAATCTCATCTCTCAGCTTCTTGTTGTCTTTAATTACAATCTCGTTTATAGGTAATTGAGATTTAGATCAGATCAATACTTTAGTGATTAAGTTATAGTTAATAGACGATGTATTTTACAATTTGGTTTTCAATAAATGAATATATTTTGTTCTTAAATAAAACTTTTACTTACGTCCAAGCTTTGGCTTTCGTATTTATAAGAACCTCTTGATAGCTCCAGTGACATACAAATTTTCTTTAGCTTATTGATGCTTTAAAGGAATTATTGAATTATCCGACCCCTTACAAATAGAAGGAATTTCAAACGCTTCACTTAGTACAGCTTTCCCTATAAATTGCGAGCTTCCCGTCTATAATTTAATAATATTAAAAATTTCTCAACATTGATTTACACTTTACCTATAACATCAAGAAGAATAATAATTTTGTAGTAAAATTTTCTTTCTTGGACCAAAAATAAAAGGTTAAAAAAATATAGTTAATGCCTTTCAGTAATATATTCGTTGGCATCAAAAGAAATGAATTGTTAGATTAATTTAGTACGAATTTCTACATCTGATCAAATTTACTAAATAGTACTTCCACCACAGATAAAAGATATAGTACAAGGCTATACGTTGTTGTTTATTGTTCTAAATTTAATCATTCTAAAATCTTTCTTAGATTTACGCGAATATTTGACATTTTAAATAAAACCATCTTTTCGGATTTTTTCGCGGATTTATTTGGATCTTTGGTTTCCAGCCTTTGGTTATTTGGTTGTTTGTTGGTTGGGAACCAAAAATCCAAATAAATCCGCGAAAAAATCAGAAAAGATAGTTTTATTTAAAATATTCTAAAATCGTTCGTATATCGTTCAGAATCATTAATCTGAATCTACTTTAAATACATTTGATACAGTACGCAAGCATTGCTGCTTATTAAGTAACAGGTTCAATTAATTACTCTTCAAGCCAAATATCTATAACATACAGAATATTTATTCATGTAATAAACAAATATAAAAAAATTTTGCAATAACGAATTTCCAAATCAAATTAAAAATGAACGTAACGTTTTGTCCTTAAATTGGAAACCCTCTTTATGGTTCTTAGAGATTACCATTTTACATCTAGAATAATATAATATATTCCTCAGATCAATTGCAAATAAAAGATATAATACAATAATCAAGTTTTATAGTTCATTCAACAAATAAAACATTCTAACTCTGTAAAAATAATACTACATCTATGTTAAAAGCTTCGCGCTCTCTCGGGATCTAACTTCATGCGCAATGTTCTATCTAAAATGCAGATTTTTTTCTAGGAATATATAAGTATTCAGATATATTGTGTAGAATAATGTTTGGCATATTTCCTTTAAACATGCCGTAATATTTACTTATAGCGGTATTTTGTACTTAGACTTTGAGCTTAACTATATACATATGCGTCATCTAAGTCTCAAATCTATCATAGACTTGGGAATTTCCATAAGAATTTCCATAAGAAGAATAAGTTGAATGAATAATTATTCATTCAACTTATTTCTTATGGAAATTCCCAAATCTAATCTTAGGTACATTTTAATTTATTTTTGAGCGGAACCCTAATTTTTTTACTGAAATAAAAGTAGCCTAAGTTACTCCTTATAACATCAACTACCTGCCAGTGAAAGTCCCGTCAAAATCGGCCCAGCCGTTTCGGAGATTAGCCGGAACAAGTAGACAGACAGACAAAATTTGTAAAAATTGTATTTTTCTTATAAATTCCATATGTACTCGTAATGCCATATCTCCTCGCGGTTAATTTCTAAAAAAATTATTGCTAACCGAGCCACCTGTGGTTCCGCGGTCGTGGACAGGATATAAATTTAGTAAAAAGCTGTTATTTTGACATTTAAAAACAGACACTTCAATTGTATTTATCTGTATAGACTAGCGACTCACCCTCATTCCGCTCGGGTTCATTCCCCATACAAACTTTCATCCCCATTTTCACCCTCTTAAGGGATGATTTTAGGGATAAAAAGTATCCTTTGTCCTTCCCAGGGTTTCAAACTATCTTCTTACCTTTCATCTAAATCGGTTCAGTAGATCCTGAGCCCCTACAACCTTACAAACTCACAAACTTTACATCTTTATAATATTAGAAACACGTAATTCTATTATAATAGTCATATAATTAATGTTTAAATATAGACCTAAAAAAATTAGACATGAAAAAATATTATAATATAAAGAAGATATTATAACACAATTTATTTTGCGGTTATATTGTTTGAGGCAGCATGCGTTACGAACTCATTACGGATCTTATCTATAAATTGGTCAGCCATTATTCAAAGTGATTACTTTCCCTAATTGATTTTCCGACATGAGTCACTGAACCATTACCGAGTCAATAAAATTAAATATTCGCAATAAATTTAAAACTATCACTTTTTTCTTTATAATTTAAACTTTTTTCATGTAAAGCTTACGAGTGTTATGTACACAAAATGTTCGTATTAAACAACTAGCAACTCACCCTCGTTTTGATAAACATGCCAACATCCAACCAAGCTTTGTTATTTTCCGTTACGTCTTATTAATAATGCCTTTTAAACTATAAGATATACTTCTACAAATCCTCATATTTTAGCTTTGTTACTAATTAAATACGCTCCTATTGTAGCTGGAAGCAACATGACAGATGTTTTGAATATTAAATACCAAGTATCAGCCAAGACGAGCCAAGCGAAGCGCTACTTGCCTTTTCTCGAAGCACTTTGTCGTTTTTTTGAACCCTCATAACTTAAGTTTGAATTATACCAGATAAAGAAAATTCTTGGAATATGATTTCAATAGTAGATTTAAATAATATATAAAAGTTCAATTGCATAGCTCTTATACTTTAGATTTTATTGATATCTTAAAAATTCCGATTTCGTCACTGACTCACTGATATTATGTATCATCAAAATTCTTAGGGTATTTTCAGAAGTCCTAGAAAGCTGAAATTTGGTATGTAAGCTAATATTAGTACATGAACAACAAAAAAGATCTAAAATTTGGAACTTTTACCCCCCAACCCCTTAAATCCATCCCCTAGAAGTTTATGAGACTTTCGCAAATTTTGATGCTAGAGGTCTGAAAATTGATATAGGGACTCTTTGTTATAAATAATAAAATACATATTTCATAATTTTTAGTAAATCATCCCCCACCCTTTAAATTAGGGCATGGAATTAAGCGCGATTATAAAAAGTAAGCCAACAAAGAAGAAAGGCTCCTCTGATGTGCAAGAAATACACCCCAAAAAAAGAAAAAAATGAACTAAATAAAAAAATGTCATAAGAAACTTACAAAAAGAAGGAAAATCCCACCAAAAACATTTTCATGTAAAATTTTGTCGAGATGAGCCCATATGGCTCGCGCTGTCACTAAGGTATAGAGTTTATGAAGTTAGGGCTTGTAAAGTAAGGGCGTGTAGAGCTGTGTAGAGCTAGAAGCTTGGCTCTACATGAGATCTGATAACTTTTTGACAGTGCGAGCCTTATGGTCTCGTCTTGTCAACATTTTGCATGTAAATATTTTTGGTGTGATTTATTTAATATTCAACACAAAACAAGTATTATTTACAAAAAAAAATAGATAAACCAGTTTGTTATATTACCTTAGGCTGTTGACAAGTTGTAGAAAATCTAATAAGATCACTTTTCAAATATAATATATGAAGGTACCTATCGAATGTGTCAAGTTTAAGTGCATAGTGTTAGTGGACTGATATTATATTATAGTGCAAGGACACAATGTGAAAAGCATTCACAATGTGGACGGCGGAGCTGAGCTGCATTTTCGTATTATTCGGTAAGTATAATTTGGCTTTACTATATCGGAATTCACGTAATACTTTCTTAGATTTACGTTAACATTTGATATATTAAATGAAATTATATTTTCGGATTTTGAATTGTTTTGTTTTATTTTATTCTAAGAGGCTTCGTTTGTGTTCAAATTTCTGATTGCTACCAAGCTTTACAAGACTTTTAGTGTAGTCTATTATTCTTTTTTTTTAAATAGGGTATACCTCAAAGTTGATCCCACTTAAATTTGAAAAAAAAATTCTCCCCTAAGTGTAAAAAATAGGGGATGTTTTGTTAATTGTGGGTAGGCTGTCTGTAACAACTATACATTCAAGACATGTAACACCTCAGTCTCTCCCGTGACCATGGATGCTGTAAAGCATTCGAAACGTCGGGAAACAAAAATCCAAATAAATCCGCGACAAAATCCGAAAAGATAGTTTTATTTAAAATGTCAAATATTCGCGTAAATCTAAGAAAGTATTAAATAGGGGATGATTTGTTTTTTCAACTACAGAATTTTTAAAATACTTACTTTTTACCTTGAAACTATGTCTACACTAAAAATGGAAAAATAAAAACTAAAAAAAAAAACTGGTAAAAAATACAGTAAAAATGTCAAAATAAACAATTGAATTGAATTAAGTTATCCCCGACTTGGTCGATATAGGAATATCAAAATTATAATCGTCATTAAGTTTGAAATGGAATATATATATAATTCTTTATTGTTAAAAATTTACTATTTAAAATATTGGAAAATCTACTTGTGTTTACATTTTTGTCGTCTTCTATTTAGGTTCATTCCGTTATGTACGAAATATTCTTTAGAATATATTATAATATTATAAACACAAAAGAACAATAGTAGAAACTTATTTACATAAATCTGACAATTAATTATTTAGTTTTAAGCACTTGTATTAATTTCTGGTTTGTGAATTCTTTAACAAAAACTATCCAGTGATACACCAATTCGTATATCGCTCTAGCTCGTCACAGATTAATTATCGAATATCAAAATAGTGGATTTACCCTTATAATATATTACTCTATGTCTTTTGTAATGAAGCAAAAAATGATTAAATTACAAATTGAATTGAAATATATTTTTGTGATTATTTAATTGTTTTTTATATGATAAGACCTATAATAAGTTTAAATTCTTAAAACACTCGCTGATAGCTCTATCAGATTTGAACCAGACTGACTCAGCTTTGTATCGTTGTAACACGCGAGTGGAACAGCCGGTGAAAGTTTGTCACATAACTACTATGGATCGAGATCCCACTGCAAGATTACTACGTTCATAGCGTATTTAATCGAAATCAATTTTTTATATACAATAATAAAAGGGACAATATGTTTTGACCGCGGTGCCTATTCAAATGTGCCCGCTAGTATGTTAAATTAACTAAATAATAGTTGATTTTTTGGAATAAAAACGATGCATTTGTTATTACAATGAATTATACTCCACTTCACAGAACTATACGTAGAGATCTTGAAAAATGATAGCTGCCGTTGCGCATTTGGCCGCAACCTCTTCGCAGCCAGGTGTAAGCGGGTCATATTTTGGTATGTTTATGCGTTCATGGCGTATATTCATCATTTATATATCAAATTAAAGCTAATTTTTTTCTGTGCATGATAAAATACCTCTCACCTATGTAAAAGTGGCTGCAATTGAAAGAAAAGAAGGGAAAAATATAATATTATATGTCATTTCTCAGACAATAACAACGGTTACCATGGCAACAAACAGATAACTAACGCGCTAACTCTCTTTCACTTTAATCTATCTTTGCCATGGTAACACAGCCAGCGGGCACATTTGAATAGGCATCCCGGTCAAAACATATTGTCCCTTTTATTATTGTATATAAAAAAATGATTTCGATTAAAAACGCAATGAACGTAGCAATCTTGCAGTGGGATCTTAGTCCACTACTAATATAAGTCATAACTTTAAATTTATCTCGTCCGGCTTAACGTCATTTTCGGTAACTAATTACCTGAGGTGTACAGAAATTATTCATGTACTTTTAATTTACGATGATCACTATACTTAGGTGCACTAGGACTTATGGTGAATATCACGCTATAAAATGTTTATACGCGAATACTTACTTATATCTAGTACAAAACTTTTCCTACTTAAAGCTCATTTAAAGCTTCTATAAGAAAACATGAAATAACTATACATTACATATTTAAAAACGATACTCCTATATGAAAAATCTATGGCGAAAAACAAACAATATTAATAAAATAGCCATAACGTTGAACCTCGTTTAAATTTCATTATCTTTAAATGTATTTTCACACAGTGTAATGTAACTTAGGATAGAAACAAATAAACTTTTACTATTAGAAGATAAAGGCTTTTGTAAACGCTCTTGGAAAGTGGATAATAACGATTCTACCCTTAAAAGCTGGTCTTCACCGAAACCTAATAGTTGTTTAGAGAATTCTGTAGCCATTTTAGTACAATGTACTACTATTTCACAGGGTGTATCCTGAGAATAAATAAAATGTTTGAGAAATACCATACATTGTACTTGGGATTTTTCTTTCAAAAATATTAGATTTCTTTGCTTAAAACATAAAATATTTTTCTATCTACATTTATAACATGTTGATAAACCGTTGTTATTAAATTTAACTGTCAAAAGTTGATTAAATGGATATACAAAAATATAGTTCTTAGTGAAGACAAGCTTTTACTCATGGCTTCACCCGCGTAATGTATAACGCGAAAGCATTCTCTGTACTCGATACAATGCAGTATGTGTGCTTTTGCACAAATGAATAATAATTTAATTTATAACATAATATATAATAGTATAGTCTATTACATAATATATTACATAATATATAATAATAATATAGTCTATATAATATATTATAGTTTATAAAAGATAGCAATTTTATATAGGTATTATAAATAATTCGAAAATCTTTTTTATATTCATGCTAGTTTAACGTTTTTATTGAAATTGACGTTTTTATTGATATTTAGAGTTTAAGTATACACTATTACCATGCTGTAGAGTACGTATGACTCAGAAACAATATGCTTTCAATGACTGCTCATTTAAATTTGTTTCTTTGTGCTTCTTGAAATTATATAAAGTAATGAGTCTCATTTACTTGTGTATTCAGCCCTTTTTATCGTCCCACTGCTGGGCACGGGCCTCCCTTCAGTACGAGGGGAATCAGGCCATAGTCCACCACGCTGGCCAAGTGCGGGTTGGCGGACTTCACATGTCTTTAGAAAACTTGCTAAGTTCTCTCAGACATGCAGGTTTCCTCACGATGTTTTCCTTCACCGTAAGGCAAGTGGTAATCATGTTAGAAATGATTCGCACATGAAAATATCAGAGGTGCGAGACCCGGGATTTGAACCCGCTTCACTCGGTTTCTCAAGCGAGCGCGTTACCACTGGGCTACCACTGCCTTTCTCATTTACTTATCTATACATATAATAAAATTGTAACTAAGCCGAATCTGTACATTAGATATTTTTTGAAAAATCTTACTCAAATAGACATTATTATCGATACAGAGGCCGAATCCATAGTTTTTAGAATATTTGTCTGTCTTTCTGTCTGTCTGTCTGTTACCGCATCACAGAAAAACCACTGGAGGGATTTTGATTAAATTTGGTATGATGATAGCTGGTTATCCGGGTCAACATATAAGATACTTTTTATCGCGGGAAAATATCTTATTTTTGAGAAAAAATACAAAAACAGCAATGTTTAAAGTATACTAATATGTAAAACCTAAGAATTTGGTTTTTGGTCATCTGAACGCGGGCGGAGTCGCGGGCAATGCTAGTACATACATATAAGTAAAGGCAAAATTAGGAAAACTTCTCCACATTGATAACTACAGAGGTAGGTGCCTCTTATTTTCATCCGACTGTGACGAAGCTCAAAGGAGGGTTATGTGTTTGACTTATATGTACGTATTATCTATGTATGTCCAATTCTATGTTCCCTCATAATTACTAAGCGGCCAAATCGATTTCAACGATTCATACGTCGTTAAATTCGTCTTGGTCACGCAAATATCATAGGTTATAAAGAAATAAATAAAAATCTAAATGATGGATTTTAGGCACCAGGTTATGTTTTTAAAAAAATAATTTCTTTTAGACCATTGAAGTGTGGTATCAAAATAAAGGTTTTTAAGAGGCGATTACAAAAATTTATCCAACTTATACGCTTAAAAGTAATTTGGAATAAGATATTGCAAAATAAAACTCCAAATATCTAACTAGCCACAACAAAAAAGTTGTAAATAAAAAATATTTACAAAAAAGAAAAAATGTTTCTGCGAAATGTAAGTATTTATGTCTCCGACTGCATAATATTTTCCTTCGTCAACTTATTCCCATCTTTTTAGTTCGCTTTTTACGTAGTCGGGTTATTTTTTTAATTTTTGTTTGCAAATCTCTTTCAGTATCGAATTTAGCGTTTCATTTTCTAACAAATACCTATGTGTAACTACGTACGTTTAAGTTGGTATATAAATTTAAATAATGATAATGCAAATCTCTATGATATACTCGTAACTGTAAGCGACTATTAATCCAGTTACTGTATAAATAATATATAATTATTTGTCCAGCTACTTATTCTTTTTTAATTTATTTGAAATTTAAAGCATCTAAGAAAAAGGTTATTTATTAAATAAAACTTAGTTTTAATTCTCAATTATGTGATAGGCCCGACTTGGATAACTTAGGTTGAGAAAGCTTTAGCTTTCTCGTTAAGTCTTTTTTATTTTAAACCCAGAACCCCCAATATATAATTGCTTCATGTTATTTAAGATTTAGTGTCAGATTCGACTAGACAATTATAGGTGTCGGACAGTATCAGAAAAATTAGAAGTGTTTTTTTTTTGAAGACACGTTCCAATTTTTGAAAGAATGAGAACAAGATATATATATATATATATATATATATATATATATATATATATACGTATATATAT